AGGGAAAGAAGACAAAATTGGGACTGAAGGAAAGAAAGAATGAGGAAACAAAAGGCTTCCTTTTAGACTAGGGTCTGAATGCATACCCCTCACACCACCGCCTGTTACACAATCGTGAGAAAGTGCAGCCCAGACCTCAGAGACTCCCATTCTCCTGCGTGCTTGTGGGTGGGTAGTGCTTGATACACCGTGTGAAGAAAGGTCCACTTCATTCTTTTCAAAATTCAAAATATGCTGAAATTGTCCATAAAATGAGCCTGGACCTTGCTAGGGGAATTAAACACTTCAAATTCCAACCGTAGAGTTTAATAAAGAATTTTCATAACACTGTAGCTTTCGAAAAATGATTTTGTTTTTAATGAAAATACTCTCTAGGTAATAAGGAAGAAAATAGTTTAAGCCCACTTCCTGAAAATTACTTATAAATATACATTAGAAAAGTTTTAAGTATTCAAGAAATGGTTTTAATAAGCAAAGCAACCACCAAGTGCAGGCCCATGGCCCAGGTGAATTACTCAAAGAGGAAGAGTGATGGGGAAGTCAAAGTCACCAGTGTGGTCACCCGTCCTCAGTCCGTCCCCATCAGTGAAGTCTTTCCCTCGGTCACCACTTGTTTGACTCCGGTACTTGGCACTCAAAATCGGAACAATTTAAGTTAGCGCCCTTTGCTTACGAGAATGTGAGATCCTTTCTGCTTGGTCCCAGCACCAATCTCTGACCCACAAAGCAATCTTGTCCAGGGGGCTGTTCTAAATAATTCAGAAGCAGTGGCAGCAGATCTCAAAAATACACACCAGGGGAACCAGCAGTTAGCGTAATGGCTATGTCGCTGGATTCCCACGTAGTCGACCGCGGTTCGCGTACCGGACCCAGTGGCTTAAAACTCACGCCGGGCGCGTGTGCGTGCGTGCCCAAGATCCCGAGAGGAGAATGGAGGAGAAGGGATTGCAGCGTGACCATCCCCCCTGGGGGGTGATTTCTCGCTTTCTGTCTCTCTGTCTCTCTCTGTCTGTCTGGCGAGCGCACGCACCCTATAGCAAAAACCTCTCCAAAAAAAAATAATAATAATACACACCAGTAATAGCCACCTCATCAGCTGTATGCAGGAAGATGCCAAAAATCATTTAACCCTTTATTGTCTTTAATTAATTTATTTTTGAGAGAATTTTGCTATAGGGATCATACGCTCGCCAGAAAGACAGAGATGGAGAGACAGAAAGTGAGAAATCACCCCCCCAGGGGGATGGCCACACTGTAATCCCTTCTTCTCCATTCTCCTCTCAGGATCTCGGGCATGCACACACACGCACCTGCGTGAATTTAAGCCACCAGGTCCAGGACTTGAAGCACACTTGACTACATGGGAGTCCAGCGACATAGCCATTATGCCAACTGCTGGTCCCTTAACCCTTTATTTTTTTAAGAGGTGGGAAAAGATAGCACTACTTTGTGACTCGACTGTGTCTTAAGAAACAAAACGGCTTTCTATTCCATCCTCCCATTCCACCCTCTGTTTCATCTGGCATTACTGACATCTCTGAGGAAGAAAACAATGTGGTTTCAGGAG